AATGTATTTTTATTTTTCATTGATATTTATAAATGTCGGTTAATGCTGCCAGTAATTACCGACATAGCACTATTTCTCATATTTTTTTATCGATTTTGACCAGCTGAGTGCGAAAAATAGTATATTATGCACCTCCAGGGAGAAAATGCTTTTTGACTGTGGTACGAATGCTACTTTATGTCCCAAGGGATGAAAAGTGTGATCGAACCGAGCGGAGTGAAGTTAGGATTGTGCTTTTTACTTTTTACTATGTCTACCGATTGAATTATTAAAGTGCCCTAAAAAAAGGGGATTTTTACATTAAAAAATCTAGGTGAGCGCTATTTCTGGATTTTTTCTATTAAACCATGCCCTAGGTGAGAGATAACTTGGTTTTCCAAACTGCTTCTCACGATTTCTCGTCTGGGAATTGGTACTAGATACTTCCCACGCTCGAAAACTTGAAAATCACTACGGAACAATAATATCCGGACTGTTGGGATGCGGTTTTTTTTACTCGTGTGGTTGGCCGCCTCGCCTTCGGCTCGACTCGCCAAACTCGACACAAATAAAAAACCCCATCCCAGCAGTCCGGAAATATACTATCTTTTTCACGGGTTAGCAGATTCATAGCGTATTTTCTGCAATTGCTCACTAATCAATCAATGGAATGAAAATTTTTTAAAAAATGTAAATATTATTGGGCCTTAACCATCGCCATTAATTAAAATTAATCAATTTTTCATTTTTATATTTGAGTTTTCTTTAAAATAGCTTTCCGAATATAATTCGAGTTTCAAAATTAGTCAGATATTTCTAGATTCCCTAGAAACAAAAGAGCTTGTCAAGTTTTACCAAAAAATCTTGAAAACTCGTCACATTTATTTGTTGGCAAAGATTTGAATAAGAAACATCCAATAATGTCGAAGCTCTTGTGGTATTATAACTAATAATTTCAATCCATTCGTAAGCATATCAGCCATTTCTCTGACAGATCACTCGATCGAGGGATCGACTTGTTCACTCGATTGAGTACTGATCGATCATCAGTCGATTGCTTCCTTCGTTCGACTAACCATCGACCAATCCATCCCCTGCCTCTCGATCAGGGCTCGACCAATGATTGACCGAATGAACAAGTCCACCAATAGATCAACGTTATCGATTTACCATCGAGTCGATAGATCACTCGATTAAGCGATTTAGTTGTTCACTTGATCGATTATTGGCTGATCATCGGCCATCCATCCCCTGATCCCCAACCAGGGATCGCCCAAAGATCGAGTAGCCATTGATCGAACAACTGAGTCGATCAATCGATCAATTTGTCATCGACTCGCAATCGAGTGGATAGATTGCTCGATTGAGCGATTTAGTTGTTCATTTGGTGGAGTATTGGCTGTCCATCGGCCGATGCGTAATTTTGTTGGACCAATAATCGATCATCCATCGTCTGACCATTGATCATGGATCTAGCCGGATCGGGGATCAGGGAACAGTCGACCAATCATCGGTCGAATGAACACTTGGATTAATCGGGTTGCCAGTGAGTCACAATCGAGTGATCTGTTAGGGATTATCAGCAGAGTCACCATCGTATATAAAGAATGAACGAAATATTGTTGTTTAACATTGTTGAAATTGGAATTTGCAGACACTGAAGCAGAACACCGAGCCACCGAGTTGCGGTGCTAGTGGGGGTGATAGCCAGGCAACAGAGTCGAGGAGAAAAGAGTCTGTATCAACACAAACACAGACAACGTCTGTTGGAAGATCTTCTAGATATGATCAAGATAATGCAACAGTGAGTTAATCCTTTTTTTAAATTCATCACATCAAAGAGCTTTTTCATTTATTCTGGGGTTAGATGAGTTATCTATGAGCTTTGATGAAAGAAAATTCCGTTTCTGTCATAGAAATTGTGAATGAGAGGGTAAGAAAATAGAATAAGTCCCTTCAATATTTTGGGAACTCGGGAGGGATGAACGGCTGAAAATAGTTTCATTCATTACTGACGAAAATTGCCGCTGGAAAGGAGAAAATA